TAGTAACTCAGAGATCTCCCCAAATAGTGTCCCATCGCCTATCATTGGAGATAATTGCTATTAGCAGTCACAGGTCAGCTACATGCCATTGTAGGCAGTGTCACTGTACCATACTCTCCATACACCTACCAGCCTCCATCTTGCAGCCAGGCAGGTTTTTTGCCCCATCCTGTCCTTTCCTCCCCACCCCAGTCACTTTTGGAAGGCTGTTCCAGAACTTCACTCCTCCGAGTTAGAAACCTTCATCTAATTTCAGGCCTAAACTTATTAAACAACTCTCCCTCCATATTGTTTCTCTCACACACTTGCTCTGTGTCAGGGGTCTCCAACCTTTTATAAGCAGGAGTTCACTTTTTGAATTTAAGTGCAATTGAGGATCTACCTCAAACCCAAACACCCTTGCTCTGTCTCCTTCCCCAATGCCCCACCCTGCTCATTCCATTCTCCTATCCCCATCCTCACTCACTTTTATCAGGCTGAGGGCAGAGGATTGGGGTGTGGGGCAGGGGGATGCAGATGCTGATCTTGGAGTGTGTGTGTGGGGGGGGGAGGGTTCTGAGCTGACCTAGGGCAGGTAGTTGTGGTGCAGGAGGGGGTTCAGGGTGCAGTTTCCAGGAGGGAATTTGGGTGCACAGGGACTCAGGGCTAGGGCAGAGGTCTGGGGTGCAGAAAGGGTTCAGGACAGGGAGCAGGGTTTGGAATGCAGGCTCCATCTGGGCACTGCTTACCACAGGTGGCTTCTGGATAGTGATGCAGGGGCTAAGGCAGGCTCACCCCTACCCTGGCCCTGCAGCACTCCCAAAAGCAGCCAAACTCTCTCCATCCTTGCCCCTCCCACCCCCAACATTAGTACCCCTTCTCCTCCTCTTCCCGTGCCCTGCACAGCAACCGGGAGACTCCCAAGAGCAGGGGGCACCTCCAAGACAAAGGGTAGGAGCAGCATGGTAGTGCTAAAAGGGACAGATAAACTTGTTAGGATCACCTGTCAGAGGCTCCAAGATCTACTGATAGATCCTGACCTACTGGTTGGTGACCACTGCTCTGTGTAAATAAATGAATCACCCCTCAGCCTCAGGCTAAACAAGCCAAGCTCTTTGAATCTCCTTTCCTAAGTTAGGAGTTTCAAATTTCCCTGATTGATCTTCTGGCATTCGATTTAGGAAGTCTAGCTAAGATCAGCTAAATCGAACACTAAGGGTGGCTCTAATCAGTGCCAGTATTCCTCGCAGTTGCGAGGAGTAAGGGAACCCAACGGGAGTATTTGCTCTCATCGGCTTCCCTCTGTGAAGACGGCGCAGAGCCTGGCTTAAGGTAAACTGACTCAAGCTACGTATTTATGTAGCTGGAGTTACGTACTTTAACTCAATCTTCCAGGTCTAGTGTAGACCTGGACTAAGTAGCCCTTTTTCCCATCTGCTCCAGTTTGAATGAATCTTTCTTAAACAAGGGAGACCTGCACTGTACACAATATTCCTTGCTTACCGCTGAGGTCAAACTAACAGGCCTGTAGTTTCCTGGATAATTTTTCTCTGCTTTCTTGAAAGTAGGTACTTGTAATATTCTATATTATTTTGGTCACCACTTTTACAAGACTATGATAAATTTTGTACAAAGTATGCCTTGTGAGATATCATTTGAAACTCATAATCCGATGAATATTGTTGTCCTGATAAAATGTGTGTATCAACATTATATCAGAAGTTATTAGATTCTACTATATATCATTGTTATAACTTGCTCCAGTGTTAAGACACGCAGACACAAATCTGTTATGGAAGGACAAAGACACACTAGCATCCCACTCAGATGTTAAACAGCTATCACTGGCCTATGAAGCCATTCTTCAACAAGAAGGCAAACAACAAAATATTTACATATCTGCACAGAGATGGTTCAACCCTCATGTGCACAAGACACTATGTGTTGCCGACACCCCAGCTCAAGTTAATCCTCAAAGAGGGGAGCATAATATAAAAACAAGAAGAAGTGGGACAGCAAGGCTCGTACATATATAATTGCCTTTGATTAAATGATGAATTTTCTCTATGAGCTTGCATTACTCATTAGTGTTTTGGACAGCACAAGATGCACATTTCTGGGGGCGGAAATCTAAGACCAAGCATTTGCAGGTATTGCGTTGTATGTAACTCATGAGTGACTGATCAGCATGAGCATGTATTTAGCTGGGAGTGAATCTGTATGTGGAAGGCTGCATGAATAGGCCAAGAGTGGCTGTTCAGTCATGAAATTGTTGGAGAATAAGGCCTACCTAGCATTACCACTTTCATTGATTTACACTTAATTTTCATTAAATTTAT